TGTCTCTCCAAGGAGGAGTCAGATCTAGTCCACGGAAGAGCCCACGAGATTGAACATCAAGGAGGGGCTCGGCTGTTCGAGCAACTTATACACCTTGGGTATTACTGGCCGACCATGGAGTCAGATGCATCCCATCACGTGAAGAGGTGCCAGACTTGTCAGAAACACGGAAATTTGATCCATGCTCCAGCTGTAGACCTGCATAGTATCCGAACGCCATGGCCGTTCCATACCTGGGCTTTTGATCTGATAGGGCCCATCTCCACATCTTCTAAGGGGTACAAGTGGATTCTCGCAGCCACAGAATTGAGTACAAAGTGGGTCGAAGCAATTCCTCTGAAGAACGCTACGGGGCCTGCAGTTGCGAACTTCATCAAGGAGAATATCATTTGCCGATTTGGAGTACCAAACACCATCCTCTCGGATAACGGCACTCCCTTCATAAACAAATATGTGAAGAGCCTCCTAGAGACTTACCAAGTGAAGCATCACAAATCCACACCCTACTATCCAAAAGGGAATGGGCAGGCGGAAGCCACAAACAAGACACTGATAAGGATTCTGAGCAAGATGATGGATGAGTTTGGGGGGACTTGGTCCGAACAGTTGATAGTAGCCCTGTGGGCGTATCGCACTTCGAAGAGAAAGCCAACTCAAGCAGCTCCTTACTCCCTTGTGTATGGGTCTGAGGCAGTGTTACCTATAGAGTTGGAAACACCATCTGCTCGGATGGCTCTCGCCTCGGGGATGGTATTGGAGCCTCGAACCACCAGATTGGAAGCATTAGAGGAAAAGCATGACAGAGCTGCAAAAGTCATGGAAAGGTATCATGAGTCCATCGCTCGAGCCTATAACCAGACTGTGGTACCAAGGAAGTTTGAAGAAGGTGATCTAGTATGGAAGATTGTAGACCCAATCATGTGAGGACAGCCTTTGCCCAAGTTTTCTCCAAAATGGGAAGGGCCCTACAAGGTGGTTCGGGCGAGCTCAAGCGGGTACTACAAACTTGTAAGGGTTGAAGACGGCTTCCGAACTGGCCCGCTCAATGCAAAGTTTATCAAGCATTACTACCCATAGTTGGACTCATCTATGTTGAAATTCATTTTCACTTTCTTACTTTGTCTAAAAGTTGTATTTCCCTTACGTTATGAAGAAGCTGGTTTTCTCTATGGTGCATGTTTTATCCCATCACTTACAGTGAATCTATTATACTTTCGTCAAGAAAGTTGAAGAACTAATGAGAATATTCCAGCTTTTCTGGCTGACCTGCAACAAAAAGAGAAGATTCCGGCGGTGGTTCATCCACCCGAGGGCACTCCGACGATCAAGTCAGTATATCTCTCAAAGATAAATCAAGTGCTAAACTCACAAGCTTGAGTATCAAAAGCATACCTTAGACCCATGGGGGTGCCTCTCTTTTATAGCCAACATAAACCTAGTCCCAATAGAAGCCTAACTTCTATGGACTCAGGATTACTGCTAATCTTGGACTCCCAATAAGATTAGGATAAACTCTCTAAGAGTCTTATCTTAATACAAACTGAAGTCTTCTCTCATTCTAGAACTCTTGTCCCTCATCCAGGTTGAGGTCCCTTTTCATTCTAGGACTCTTGTCCCTTATCCACTTATCTTGGATTTCGATATCTTCAGAGATAACCTTGGCTTTGCCGAGATCACCTCGGTGTCATGACCAGGACACGTGGCACCTCGGCTGACACGTCGGCGTCACCTTGCCACGTGTTGGTACTCAGAAAATATATCCCCACACATAGTATATTATTTGTAAACGAAAAATTACAGGAGCTCAAAGCACAAGCACATATATAGTCAACCATAAATTCTGTGTCAATTGACTTTTAATGGATGTTATAATCTAATTTGATGCATCTAAAGAACACTCATCAAATTTATAATAAAAGCGCTCATATTATTTCAAGTTTCATTTTCATCTAGATGAAAATAACTTTTGTAACGAACAATTAATGGTTGTTTTCCTGGAACGTAAATCACAAACAAATTCAACCTAAAGGCATACATAGTGACGGTGATGATTACAACCCTTTACAGATAATCATATAAATACGCAACCATTGTAAAAATAAGGTATTGCAATTAATTCAGGGACCAACCATTTGTAGGTCAAATCAAGTAAGGTCATCAATTAAATTCAAATACCAAAAACCAACTTGCAACCAAAAAAAAAAATTAAAAAATAAAAAATAAAAATAATCAAGCTTAACCTTAGATTAAAATCATATCCCATCAAAATTTTCATCATTCAAATCAAACATCAATTTCCAACCCATAACCAAACTGTTACAATACAACTCAACTAAATTTAAAAAAAAAAAAAAAAAAAAAAAAAAAACTCTGAAACTGCATTGTATCACCGAAAAGCTAATTGAACATGAATCAAATATTTTTCCCTAGAAAAAAAAAATCCAGTAATGAATTTAAATATAAAAACCCAAAACCCTAGATAAATATTAATAATTTTGTATCACCAAAAAGCCAATTGTACATGAATTAGAAAAATTTCCTTAGAAAAACAAAAAACAAAAAAGTGCTGCCAAAGGAAAATTGAGCCTTTAAAAGTAAAAATCTTCTTCTATAGAAACAATCTTCCATCAAATAAAACAAAACCTACAGAAAATTTGGGGGTGGGGTGGAAGAGGATGGAAAGGGAAACAGAATTAAGAAGAAAAAAAAAATCCAAAGTAAAAGGCTGAGGCATATATGATTGAAACAATAAAAGTGTCATACCGAGAAAAGGAAAAGAGAGGCGTGGCTATCAACACAAAGATGCCGAAGAGAGCTCCTCCATGATTTGCAGCGAATGGAAGTAGGGGACCTTTTTTGGATTCAATTTGTTGGATTTAATAAGATAAAAGTAGAGCTGCCATCTCACACTTCTATACACTGCATACACACAAATACATACATACATACATATATATATATATATTGCCGAGAAAATCAAATCAAAATCTCTATATTTTACAAATAAGAAAATCAAATAGATAACTATAATAAAACAATAAAAGGGTTTCGATTGAACTTAGAAGAAGGGACAAACAAATCAGATATACATGTATGGACATATGTAGCTAGAGATATAGAGAAAGAAAGAGGAAAACCTGGTTATCAAAGAGAGAGCAGTGGTGGATTATCCCAAGGTTCAATTATACAGAGAAAAATGGGGATTTGTAGAGAGAGAGAGAGAGAGAGAGAGAGAGAGAGGAAGAAGAAGAAGAAGCAAACCTAGTAGTCGATTGGCAACCCTTCCTAGGTTTTTTGGTCTAGTCTAGTCTGGATTAGAAACAAACCCTTCTGTGCTTTTTGATTGGAAGCTGAAGAGCTGGGGCTGATTGGTTTTTTTTTTTTTTAATATATTTTTTAGTGTTTGGTGGAAGAGATTTTTATTTTGGCGTTAATTAGGGGATTAAGTTTTTGCGACGGTTTGAATGGCTGTCGTAAATTAACAACAATGCAAAAATATAAAACCTTTTGCAACGATTTCAAGTTATCCATCTCTAATAATAGTATTTTTTTTTTTTTTGCAACAGTCACTTGCCGTCTCAAAAAAAATGATTTTGCAACAGATTTTTTTACCGTCGCAAATGCTTGTTTTTTGCGACGATTCTTAAACCATCACAAATGGTTCCATGTCTAAAGCCCGCTTTTCTAGTAGTGCTTTTGACATCCATACAATGGTTTGGGGACTGTTTTGTATTTTCGCCCCCTTTCCCGGCGAGCGGCCTTTTTTTGACTAAGTTTAAAGTGTTTTCCACTCTAACTCCCAACTTACATGTACTAAGTACATGTCGTTTGTCCCCAGAGGTCCTATTTCTCACGAGGAAGCTTCCCGTGACGTCCACAGAGTGGTTTGGTGGCTGTTTTACGTGATGAATAATGACTAAAACTATTTTGCAGCCAATGATTAATTAATAGGGACTAATATATTGGTAGCCAAAAGCATCATTTGACTACTATTTTTTTTTTGTCGGTAAAAATTAAATATACGGCGACTAAATTTTTTATTCACCAAAAGGTGTAAAAAATGTCCACAATATTTGGCGACTAAACTATATTTTTGTTGGCAATTAACCGTATTCAGCGACTAAACCTAGAATTAATAGTGTAAAATATAAACTTTTGGCAAACCTAGAATTAATAGTGTAAAATATAAACTTTTGGCGACTAATTGTTATTTAGTCGCCGATTACTATATATTTAGTGACTAAATTTTGTTTTGGTCGCCAAAAAGACAATATATCTCAACTAAATCCAAATAATAGCTGAACTGTGAACCTTTGACGACTAAATTTGCTTTGGTCACCAATTTTGGTAGCCAAATGTATAGTTTCTTGTAGTGTTGTCGATGCCTTTGTTGTAATTCGTGTTCCTGTATCAGTTTGAAAAGTTTTTGAAATAATTTAGTTTTTTTTTAATTTGTTTATTATTTATTATTTGGGTTTACTTTAAGGGTAATTTGGAAAAAATAATAGGGTGTACTGAGAGTAATATAAAATTTTAAATAATTATAAACAGAGTTTACTAAAAAATTGGAAATACTTAATATTTTTTGAGTGTAAATAGAATCCCCCATGTAACCCTATTGTGCTTGCTTGACAGTGCCAACCTAGTTGGGATTGTCTTGTGTAGCTATGATACTCTTTGTACTCACCTCCCCTTATCTTTTTTGATGTATTTCCTTCTTGTTTGTTAGTTTATATCAATAAAGATTTTATTTTTTGCTAATTAAAAAATTTTTGAAAAATGTTAGGTTTTTATTTATTTATTTTTTTTCAAAGGTTTAGATGAAAAATTGATATATGCAAATCTGATATGTGAAATTTATTTTAACAAGATTTTTTACTTTTAAAAAAGAGAAGACAAGTAACAATCTTAGTCCCCGCTTGTTTTCGTTTTGTTATCTTTTTCTAATATGGGGAAAAAAAAGGCCATTAAAATAATAATAAGAAAATCAAAATTGGCATTTGTTGTTTTCATACCAATTATATGTGCATTATGTTTGTTTCAATGACAAATTCTATTTTTTGTAATAAAAAAAAGAAAAAAAAAAGAAAAAGATAACGCAAAAAGCTTGTTTAGTACATTAGTTTTAAAAAATTTAATGAAAATAATTTTTATAAAAAACAAACATATCTGAAATGGAAATGTTGCCAAACATACCTTGAATGAATTTCTTTATTCATCCCATTTTCTACATGATAATAAGAACTCCAATTGTGTTACTTGCGCGCGCGCGCGCGCACACACACACACAAAAATAAAAAAATAAATTTAAGTTTCTTTTAAAAACTTGAATGGTGTTTTCATCAAACATTTCATATGGTTTTTAGAAATCTTTCTCCTAAAGGAGTGCTGCAGTAATAGAAACTCCATTTTGTTAGCAGGTACTTCACTCCATTATTTTGATTGTGTTATTGTAAACATTTGTGAACCAAATGATTTATTAAGAAGAAGGCAGCTATGGGAGTCTTTAGTGAAGCTTAAATCCACTTTTTTAAAACCTTGGTGTGTAGGGGGGATTTTAATGAAATAAGATTTATGAGTGAACGGAAGGGGTGCTTGAGGAGGGATAGTGGAATAAGGGATTTCAATGATCTGATTGATAATTTGGAGCTATTAGACATTCCAATGCTAGGCAGAACATATACATGGTGTAATGCTTTGGATGGGAAAAGGTGGAGCCGGATTGATAAATTTCTAATTGATCATAGGTGGTTGGAGAATTTCTCATTTAAGCAGTGGGGGCTACCTAGGACTCTTTCTGACCACTACCCAATATTGCTTATGGAAGATGAGAGGGATTGGGGACCTAGGCCATTTAGATTCATAAATACTTGGTGTTTGCATTCTAATTTTAAATCTGAAGTGCAGACATCTTGGGAAAATAATCACATTAGTGGTTGGGCTAGTTTCATGATAATGAAAAAGTTGGGAAATCTCAGAGTGCATCTTAGAAGGTGGAATTGTCAAGGGTTTGGAAACATTGATGAACAATTGAAAAAAGCTGAGGATGAACTCCATGAATGAGACATTGAAGCTGAAGGTAGGAATGCAAGAAATTGAGATTGTAAGAAGAGGAGAGGTTCGAAGGTCAGTTTGGGAGTTGAGTAGAAAGAAGAAGTGGTTATAGCATCAGAAATCCAGACTGGCATGGGCAGAAAATGGGGATAAAAATACAAGGTTCTTCCATTTAATGGCTAGTAGAAAGCAGAGGAAAAATCTGCTGGATTCTATAAATAAGGATGGTGTTATATATAATCAGCCTGATGTAATTAAACAAGCAATGGTAAGATATTTCCGCCAACTATTCTCTGATGATTGAAGGAATAGGCCAAAATTGTCAGGTGTTTTTGTCTCAATTAGTCCTATAGAATCTGGTTTGTTAAAGGCAGAGTTTTCAGAGGGGGAAATTTGGGAAGCAGTCAATGATTGTGATGGTAATAAAGCTCTGGGGCCTGACAGGTTTAACTTATCTTGCATTCAGAAATGCTGGCATATAATGAATGGGGTGTTAATGCAGCTTAGGAATGAATTCCATGCTAATGGTAAGTTAGCTCGAGGAGTGAATAGTTCTTTTATCACTTTAATTCCTAAAAAAGATAATCCCATGGGTCTGGGTGATTATCGGCCTATTATTTTGGTAAGTTCAGTGTACAAAATAGTTGCCAAGGTTTTATCAAGAAGGTTGAGGAAGGTGCTTCCAAAGTTTATTAGTGAAGTGCAAACAGGCTTTTTGAGCGGAAGATGTATCCTGGATGGGGTGTTAATAGCCAATGAAGTAGTGGATTGGTGAAAAAGATCAAAAAATCAAGGTATCATTCTAAAGTTGGATTTTGAAAAGGCATATGATTCAGTAAATTGGGTGTTCTTATATTCAATGATGACCAACTTTGGTTTTGCAGAAAAATGTGTGCGTTGGATGAAGACTTATATTTCTACAACTAGAGTCTCAGTGTTAGTAAATGGTTCTCCCACATCCGAATTTTCTCCAATAAAAGGACTTAGGCAAGGTGATCCCCTTTCACCTTTCCTTTTTAATATTGTTGCAGAGGGCCTTAATTTATTATCGGAAAAAGCAAAAGCAATGGGCTTGATTAAAAGAGCTTCAATTGGTCAAAATGAGTTGAAATTATCTCACTTTCAATTTGCAGATGATACCATCATATTTTGTGAAACAGATTGGGAGGAAATAATTGCTATCAAGAGAATATTAAGTTGTTTTAAGGTTATGTCAGAATTGAAAATTAATTTTCACAAAAGTCAGGTGTGTAGGATAGGTGTTCAGGATGATTTGGTGAAAGAATTTGCTGTAAGGCTCAATTGTCATAGCCAGAAGCTGCCTATGAAGTATCTGGGATTGCCTTTAGGAGCAAATCCTAAGAGAAAGTCTACATGGCAACCAATGGTGGATAAATTCAAGAAGAAGCTAGCTTTATGGAAGAGAAAGTGCTTGTTGTTTACAGGAAGGTTAACCTTCATAAAATCAGTGTTGTCAAGTTTGCTGGTTTATTTCTTATCTCTGTTTAAAATGCTAGTGGGTATTGCAAGTTCAATTGATAAAATTCAGTCTAATTTTCTCTGGGGAGGATCTGAGATGAGGAGAAAAATGCATTTGGTTAGTTGGAAGGAAGTATGCTTGAATAAGTTTCAAGGAGGGTTAGGGGTTAGGAATTTGAGGGAGGTAAATGATTGCTTATTAATAAAATGGTGGTGTGGGTATAGTAGAGAGGAGAATGCATTGTGGAAACAAGTGTTGTGTAGTAAATATGAAGGATTTGTGGCAGATGGAGTTCGTTCTCGGTGAATTCAGATTTGCTGTCTACTTTGTGGCAGGATGTATTATCAATGAATTTGACTAATCTTGCTTTAAGTGAATTCTTTTTCAACAATGTAAAAACAGCTGTGGGTAATGGTAAAAGGATTCAGTTTTGGGTTGATAAACGGTTTAATAATCAAAGCCTTGGTGAAGTCTTTCCCAGATTGTTTTCATTGTCAACTGAGAAAGGTTGTTCACTGCTATATTTTTTCCATAAGAAATGAGAGGGTCGGGACTGGAAGTTAGCTCTTAGAAGGCCCCTTTTAGCTTGGGAAGAGGATGAGGTGTCCAAGTTGAATGATTTGTTGTCTAATGCACCTATTCTAAATGCAGAGGTTGAAGATTCTTGTTATTGGTTAGCACACTCTTCTGGGTCTTTTACTGTGGCATCAGTGTGGCAAAGAATGGAATCATCCAAAGAACCTGAAAAATGAATTACAAGAAGTATTTGAAGGACTATTGCTCCTCCCAAAGTGCAATTTCTGTGTTGGCTAGCGTGGAGATATAGGATTAAATCCTCAGATCTG